TAAGCATGTACACTACCTAGGAAACTGCGTGCCTTCTCAACACATGACATTCCACACCCCTTACACTCAGACATCCCAGTGGTAGAACACACACAGTCACACTTGCATAGACCACGTAAAAAATTACTTGTGGATCCATAAAACAAATATACATTTTCCAAGGTAAACAAATAAACTTGCATGTGGAAGCAGAAATGTACATAGGTGATAGAAGGAGAGATGCCCCCATGTTTAAAAAAGAAGTGAGTCTTATATTTACTTCAATATATCTAAAATGCCTGTGTGGCTCAAAGATGACATGTGGCCCAGAAGATAACCACAGAGCAAATGAATAGGTAGAAATGGATAAAAGTTCTCCCGATCTCACGTGTAAAGCCAACATCTTTCCTCCACTGAGCTGGTCCCACCCAGCTTAATCTTTTCTTGGCATTGGCTAAAGGTTGCCCTAGTTAAACGGAGCTGCACCAAAGTAAGGGGGCCTGTGCCCAAATAAATGCCTTTCTGTCACAACTTCATTTCCCCTTAAAACATAAACCTGTAAATTAGGCTTTCTTTCCCAGATTTACAACAACCCATCTTCTAAGATGGCAAAGGTCTAACACTATGCCCATGGTCTCACATAATCATCTTTTCAGGTCCCGAGAAGTAAAAGCTGAAAGCAAGTCCGTCTTACAGAGGAGAAAACTGAGCTGTTGAAGGTTAAGTGACTTGCTGGGCTAAAGAGTGGCAGTAGGAGTCCAGAGCCCACTCATCCCCCTTGGAGCCACACTGCCGGTCCATGCCCAGTCCCAGAGAACATACGCTGGCCCGGACCCCACACCCCTTCTTCCCTGTGGAGTCTCTGCAGTATTCCCTTGCCTCAAGCCAGGCTCCCAGACAAGGGCAGGTGCTGCTCATTTTCACAGCTTAATCCCCTCATTTGCTCCAAGTCCAACCTGAGCAACACCCTTGGGGACTTCTAGGAAGGAAACTAACTAAGGAAATAAACTGCTTCTTCCAGTTATGGCTTCATCCAAAGCAGAAGGGAGCTATTAAAGGCAGTGATAGGACTCGGCCATTTGCAGCCGTGCAACCTGCCCTGCCTGCAAACGTACAACTTCACTGGCTTGGCATCACTCGACTGCACAATTCATTGTGTACCTAATTAATGGAATGCAAAATCATGGCCCCCTGCAATCCCACACCTCAAAGGATGATACCAACACACCTCCCTCACACAGATCACCATGCTCACCATATGACTTCATTTGGATTTGCGGATGTTATATAACCCTTCTATGCTTCAGCAATACCTCTGCTGGACAGTGATGCTTTGGGCCTAGAAGCAACTGGGTGAAGGCAAAGAACTTCTGGATTTCAGCCTAATTACAGATAGGGCAATACCAATGTCCCTCTCCTCCATCCATATGAGCCAGGGCACACAACATTCAGGGAATCAGTGTCCCCTCAAAGAGGCCAGGGAATTCAGCCTTAATACCACTCCCCCCCTCAATTGTAGCTTAGAAGAAGTAAAGATTTTAGGAGGCTACTAAATGGAGATTCTACCTTCTCAGACCAATGGGGAGCCTGTCTTTTGGATGCTTCATCATATAACTTCTTCATCTATCTTGCCTGTCTACCAATCCCATTCTGGGAGCTCCTGGACTCTTGGGAGGAGGGTCAAAGCTTCTTTCTTGACCAGCACTTTTCTCAGACAGAAGTCTGGGTTTTTTCCATATTCCCAGAGGCCATGGCATGGGAAAGAATCTTAAACAGACTCACAGTCACTGCCAGTTTTTCCCCAGAGTCACAGCTGACCGGCCCTTTACTAATATCCCCACAGATATGATTGCTGCAGATACTAATAACGTTCTCCATATTCTGAGTGCCAATGCCAATAATGTTCCGGGTATTATCGCTGTGAACACCAATAACTACTGCTGAGATTGTCTCCAATAATGCCAGCACACACTGCAGTGATTGTCCTCACTAATGCCCACCACCGTGACATTGTTAGAGCTGAAGAATAGGCCACACTGTACTCAGAGGAAGGAGCAGGAACAGCTTCTTGGAGGACAGAAGGGCTCCCCACTTGCCTTTGGGGTGTGACGCTTCTAGGAAGATGCCACAGTGGTTGGGGCCAAATGAGGGCCCAACTGGCAGGGTCATCAAGGGTCTTCCTGGAGGGAGGGGTGCCCCTCTACTCCCTTTACGGTCTAGTCCTGACATGCACCCTTAGTCCCATCCCAACACCCCTCAGTCCCCCAAGTCAGTTTTCTCTTTCGCCTGCAGTTCTGACCCAATAGCTGAAGGACACACCTGGGTGTCTGCGAGGCCCGTGCCCGAGGCTGCCTTCTGTGACTGGCCTGCCAGTTGCTTTGCTACCTTGGCCTGACTGCAGAGTTGGGCTACATCATCTTGACACATAATTATCTCCCCTATTCTTAATCATCTGAGCTGCTCCCTAATGCAAACTGGGCCTGGCTGCTCAGCAGCATCCAGAGTAGGGGAGGGGAAGGAGGGGCAGCTACAGATCAACCTTTGCTCACACCTCTCCCCTCCCACCTGGGTCCCATGGATCATACTGGGGAGGGGGCTGGGGATAATTGGTCTCCCTCATAGGTCTGGACTCCACCAGAGAAGGGCCTGGGCTGGCCAAGAGGAGAGGGGAACATTGCAACCCCCCAGTTTTTCCTGCCACCTGGCTAGCCATGCAGATAAATGTTTCAGAGGACACTTAGAGGCCCCCGTTATCCCTCATTTTGAAGACTTCATCTGCTTCTTGCGATGTGGCCCTGTTGCCATCACTGTCACTGCTGGAGGATGAGTTTCCCTAACCCAGTCCTGCCCTGCCCTTCTTGCTCAGACACCTTCAGTGGCTGCTCCTGCCTTCGCAGAAAATGTTCAGACTCCTATATGATCTGCTCCTGGCCTCTATCCTGTGACCCTCACCTGCCACCACTTTCCTGCCAAAGCTGCCCTGCAGCTGCTGGCCAAAGGTCTCTCTGGTCACAAGTCTCAGGCTATCAGATAGAATTTCAGGCTACCATTGTCTTTGAACATTTTCCTCATTCATCCCTCAGGCCCCTCCTCAAACAGCAACCCTTCCCGGGTGTGTTCCCTCCCACTTGGTGGCCTGCAGCCCAGACTCCATCACAGTGCCCTATCTGAGGGGCCTTTGTGCTCTTGGGGCTCACATGCTCTGCACGCCCCACTAGAGTGTAAGCTCCTTAAGGACAAGCATCTTATCTTGTTCTGCTTTGCGATGCTGTAGCACCAAGCCTTTCTTGTAACTGCTGTGCAGGAAGGTTCACTGAACTGAATTAACTTGAAACAATGAATGTGATCAGCTGCTCAGAGAGGAGAGCACTGTGTTCTGGGCCAGCTGGGCCCAGCCCTGGGCAGTTGCAGTCTCATGCCAGTGCCTCCTTGGCCCCTGGCCCCCTCCATGCCCAACAGAACCCCAGGCATCAGAGGGCATGCTCGGCCACAACCTCAGACCGACAGGAGATACCTCAGCTCCCTGGACAGCTTATGCTCTAAATAACACAGATACTGCTGGTTAAATGAGAAACTTTTCAAGTTTTAGGCAGATTTTACCAAAGCATTCAGGGCGCCAGGGAGCTTGGCTGAAGCCTGAGCATGTGAAGCCCCAGGGAGAACTGGGACTTAGGGCCTTTCCTGTAGACTCCCCCTGCCCATCAGGGGCTGCCGCCAAAACAACCACAATGAAATTTAGTGAGTGGCAAAGGCCGTGGCGGCCAAATGGGTTTGGATATTTTGGAAGAAGGAGAAATAGAGCCAGACAAGCTGTTTCCCTGTGAAACGAGGCCATTAGGGCTTCTGGAAGGAGGCCAGCACCAGGTCATCACTGTCTCGCCAGGCCCAGGCCTCTCTTCCACTGTCCCTTCTGCTGCAAGTCGGGACTCTCACGTTCTCTTCCCCCTGCCTGGGTCTGGGGAATCTCAGTCTTGTCTCTTTTCTCTGTTCTTACTCCATTAAGCTACCCTTACTGAGTTTGTCTATACTTGGGATGACCATGTAATTTATTGTCCAAACAGGACACTTTTGAGAGAAAAAGGAGATGCTGACTGGCCAAGATGCAGTGACAACAGGCGTAAATATGGACTGACCTGGGCACGCCTCATGCTCATTGTTTGAGGATTCTGTTTCATGGACAATACCTTCAAAGTCCTACACCCTCTGAAGGCAAGAGGCTACCAGTTGTGGGACCATGAGAGAATGGATGCAGGAAGCAGGTCTGAGACACTGATATATGTTGTTCTGAGTGTGCCAGCTCTGGCCTCATGCATCAGAAGACAACTAGAGGGCCACCCAGGGGCCCCTAATGCCACCTTGTCCTAGGCTCATTTCTACCACTCTCCCTCCGTATGTCCTTTCTTCTCTCCTCATCCTCTTCACGTCCCATAAACTTCAACTTCTGGCCTGACAGCCTGGCTGTAAACTGAGGTGTTCCAGGGAGCAGGGAGAGGGCCAGAGGGAGCTTCTGGGGCAGCTCCACTCATGAAGAAGAATAGAGAGAAGCTCCATGTTCCACTCCCTGTGGGCTTTGAATGGAGGCAGTGTCTGTGTGTTACAGAGAGAGGACGCCAGGGCCAGCTGCATGTGACATCACTCTCCCACTTCCTGATGGGTTGGGATCAGGTGAGGACAAGGTAGGTTGGCCTTTTATCCTGAGGTCAGAGACCAGCTGTCCCCAGCCCCAAAACCTTTCCCAGGTAAGCAGCCCCACGCTTTTCCTCCTGGCATCCCACAGGGAGGGATGGGGTAAGTCCCAGGGAAGGTGAGGCAGCAGGGCACTGAGCAGATGGTGAGGCTGATGGCCCCACCAGCAGCCTTCCTCCCTCTCTCCAGGAGCCAGCAGGGCAGTGGGGGGACCGGGGTTTGCTACTAAAACTGATCTCACGGCAGAGCAGCTGCGAGGCCAGGCCGAAACCGGAGCTCTGAGTCTGAGGACAAAGCATGCAAAGGGGAAGCCAGATCTCTTCCCTCCTCCCTACCTTCATCACGTTTCCTCTTCTCACCATTGGAGCGAGGAATCCCCAGGATCCCGTTAATGGAGTAGGATCCCACTGGGTCATTGGAGGCGCTGGAGACAGGAGGGGAGGCCGTGCTGGGAACTGGACAAGAGTGAGGAGGAAATGCTGTCAGGATAGCAGTGATGATCATAGGCCAAAGCCCCAAGGCTGGGCTCGGAAAGAAGCAGAGGACATAAGAGGGGTGAGGAGAGCACACCCTCTTCTTCCTCTGAGGCTTTAGCAGGGAATACGTTGCCATAAACAGCTCAAGCTATTATTCCCTTCTGCCCAGCCTGGAGTAAGTGGTGGTTAGTTGACCCTAGGCCTTCTCTGCAGACCCCTGGATTTCAATGGGCCCCTTAATGTCATTCCCCTGAGACAGGCCAAGTATAGGCCCAGGAAACACCAGAGCTAATTCTCCATCTAGAAAGCACCTTGGTGGTTCTCTGGTAAGCACAGCTCCTGGGATGCTTCCTTGCACAGCCTAACCAATCCCTGGGGCCGGACAAATCCTTCTAATCAAACCCTAGTTCATTGTTTCTCAGTCTCCTGGGCTGAGGCTTTGCCAATCCTGATTTGGAGTCAGTCTATGGCTTTCTGAGATCTGTCCTGGTTCTATAGGAGACACTGGCTGGTTTTGATGTTCCCAGGAGTGTGCAGTTCTCCCTCCCAATTGCTTCTTGTCTTGAAATCACTTGAGAAGTTCCTAATTTTCCCCTAAGGACACAGACTAGTGAACCCATTCACTCCACGGTGATCAACTCAGGTACAGCCCGGCCCAACCCTTCCTCCCAGCACACACTGTAACACAGGCCCAGTAAACAACAACTCCTGCCAACTCCAGGAGGGTTGGGGCCAGTCATTTCTACTTCCTGCTGGTCAAGAGAGAAGGGTACAGCTGCCAAGAGGGGCAGCAGGAAAAATTTAACCACATCCTGGAGGCCCCTCACCCGCCCAGGCTGCATCTATGGCTAGAGCAGCACCAAGTTTTCCCATGAGCCAAAGGGAAGGCTGTGTGTGTTGGGGCCACAGGAGGGAGTGTCAGCAGGAGTTCTCATAGGCCTGTGTCATGTCTGTGAGAGGCCCTGAGCATGAGTCAATGAAGAAGGAGGGTGGTGAGGGGCAGAGAGCAACAAAGAGGATGAGACAGACAGAGAGATCAGAGGCCAGGAGGAGGGAGGGAGAGAGACAGAGGGACAGATCTGGAGCCACACATATGGAGAGGAGAGAAAGGGAAAGGCACAGAGAGGAAGTGGAGGAGAAGAGGGGAGAGAGACAAGGACAATTTTAAAAATTAAAGGTGGAGGGCGGCGCCTGTGGCTCATAGGAGTAGGGTACCAGCCCCACATGCCAGAGGTGGCAGGTTCAAACCCAGCCCTGGCCAAACACTGCGAAAAAAAAAAAATTAAAGATGAAGTAAGAAAGCCAATATAAAACAAAGAGGGTGCACAGAGAGAGATGGAATCAGATAAAACTAAGGATGATAGGGAAGGAGGAAGAAGGGATGGAGAAGAAAAAGAAAAAATGCTAAAGGAAACATATTGATTAGGAGGGGGAATGGGGAGAGAGGTTGGAGTGGAGGGAGGAGGGAGACTGACTAAAGCATGGCAAAGGTGAGGTCACACATGGGTGGGAGGCAGAGAAAGCCTAGTGAACTAGTCTCCTTCAGGGACACCCTGACAGGAGCTCAGGGAGAGAGGGACTGGGAAACTGGGTGGGGCTGGACCTCCTTAGGGCAGGCAGGTCGGGGGTGGAGCTATGTTTCCTGGCTTTCCCCAGGTGGCACGGGGCTTCCCCACCCCCTTCCCTGAGCCCTCTTACCGATGGTGTGGCCAGGGGCAGTCACTCCTGTCCCAGCCCCATCTGGTGTTGGATGGAAAGGCTGCTGAACTTTGGTCCGGATGATTCTGCAACAGCATCACAACAGCATCACACGTCACGTCCCCCTCCTGCTCTGGCCAATTCCAGCCTGGTCCTGCCGAGGATTCACTCCCAAGCTCCTCAGTGCTTTCCTTAGCCATCTGCTCCCTGCACCCCTGCCCTCATCAACTGCTGAAGGAGGCAAGGCTTCCCTCCTGTTGACTCTGCAAATCCAACCTAGCTTAGCCCTGGGCGGGCAAAGGGAGGCAGTCTGTGTTCAGTCCTGCTGTGAAAACCATCCAAATTGCAGCTTGAGTTTTGGTAGTGAGGATTGGTGCAGAGGACCCAGTGGAGCCTGGCATTCTTTCTCTTTCTGGGAGTGGGAACTGATCTGGTGGCTTGTTGTCCACCTTCCTTTCTCAACCACACATGCATCTCCTCCTGGTACCATGACGCCCTGGGTTTTGAGATCATTTTGCACCTGGCTTTCCTACTAGGACCATATCACAGTCCTCCAGAGTCAGGTGTGTGTGTGTGAGAGAGAGAGAGAGAAAGAGAGAGAGATATCCTCATATCCTGAACTTATGAGAAATAACCATGGAAGGGCTAGGTCACAGGTAACCCTTTGTCCCTAGGATGCCAACATAGCACAGGGTCCTTTGTCGGATGTCTGGCCCTGAGCAACCTCTTCTTGAGCACATTTACTGCCCTCAGACAGTCAGGGCCCTGTCCCCATCCAGCTGACTTGTCATCTTTTCCAAGGGTCTTACTTAGATCGCAGCGTCTTTGCTGGACTAATTGAAAAAGCTGGTGCCCTCCCTAGGTACCCTGGAAAGGAGAGGGCCAAATGAAACACACCAGGGCTGGGATAAGCCTGCTTTTCAGTGATCTGAAAAACTCAGGGCTCAATGACTTAAAAGGCCAACTCTGAGGCCAGGACTGAGGAAAGCTCCCTCCACTCACTGGTCAAACAAAAAGCCTGCAGAAACAACTTTTCGGACAGCCTTGCTCCTCCCCACAGAGGGTTTGTGAACCAAGTTCACCTTAGACAGCCAGATGAGTAACAAGCCGTGAGTTCACTCAGCTCCAGCCAGCGTTCACTGAGCACCTGCTGGCAACAGGGACACAGTCCTTACCTTGCAGGGGAGGGAGGACTTATACCCAGAGAAAGCAAATCACCAACGGGATCAGGTGGTTAGTGCCAGAAGGATGCAGAGGAGGAAATATCTGCCTTACAGGCAGGAGAATTGGGAAGGAGTTCTGAGGTGTGGGACGTGATATAGATCTTTAAAGCAAAGAAGGGTTGAAGTCAGAGGCAGGATGGGGAGAGGAAAGGGCACTGAGCTACATAACAGGGGCCCTAAGTCCCTCTTCTGACCTTGTCATTAAGGGGTCACACAGACTCTCAACTTTTCTGGGCCTCAGCTTTTTCAGCTATAAAGGGGCTGCACTACAGGATCTCCAGGGTCTCTTTCAACCCAGTAAAAAAATAACATGACCCCAAGATGAACAAAGCAGTGCAGGGGAGGGCACCATAAGGAGGTGCCAGAGTGGCGTGGAAGCCCAGTAAGCCGAATGTCTCCAGGGTTGGTGCCTGGAACAATCAGCCAGCAATACAGGAGGTCTGCAAGCATGTAGGAGGAAATGAGGCTGCAGGCTCGGATGTGATGATAATAATCGCCACTCTCCACTTACTGAATGTCTACTCCGTGCCAAGGTTACACAACTTACAGTGCATACATATACACTACTGTTAATTTTCACAACCACCTCCAATGTAGATACTATTATCCTCACTTCACAGGCTGAAAACCAAAGCTGAAAGAAGTTAAGTAGCTCACTCAACATCATACTGCCAGCTAGGGCAGAGTCGGAATTCAGTCTCCAAAATCTATGCTTTTTGTTACTTTGTCATCCTTCTCCCAACATGTAGAAACCAGTTTTAGAGGGTCCCAAGCTACAAGCAATGTCTAAACTAGACAGGACGTGTACAGACTGAACCTAGTAGAGCAACACTGGGCATGCGGCGACATGGAGCAAGATGTTGTGAAGGCAGAATGGCCAGGTCCTGGCAACTAACTCATGTCAACTATGGCTCCAAAACCCCAGTTTTGTGAAATTGGAAGCTTGGTAGTGTGTCTTATTGCCAGGAATACACCTGCAGGGAAGTGGCTGGTTGAGAGGGAAGTGCTAGTATGGGTCCTGGCTACACAGCATTTGAGGTGGCCAGGCAATGTCCAGGAGGACATGCCCATGCATCAGCTGCCACAGCAGACTGTTAAGGAAAGCAGTGTTGGAAGCGACAAGAGACATAAAGAGTGGATACCGGGGAACATATACTTCAGAGACTGGGGAAAGATGCCAGAGAATTGGTCATACGGGAACCAGGATGGGGTGGTTTTAACTAAGTCAATGGGCAAGAATATTTCAAGAAAAACATAACCCACAGTGCCAACAGTGACATGGAGACTGAGCGGATTAGGAATAAGAAGGGGCACAGATTTGGGATTTTGGTGGCCACTAGTAACACGGGGGAGAGCAGTTTCAGCAAAATGACTGGAGCAGGAGCTAGACAGGATAAGGTTAGGGGAGTGAATAGGGAGGAAAGAGAAGCAAGGCACAGTGAGAACAGACAGACCAGTGTGTAGAAAAGAAAAGGAGAGAAAAGTGTGAAAGTTGGAGTGGGGAGAAGATAGCTGAGTGGAGGGGAGGCTTTCTAGGGTAAGAAAGACCTGGGTAAGTTTGTAGATGAAGAGGAAGCTAAATGGTTAGGGTGCCGACCACATACACAGAGGCTGGCAGGTTCAAACCTGGCCTAGCCCTCCTAAACAACAATGACAACTGCAATAAAAAAAAAAAAATAGCCGGGCGTTGTGGCAGGCGCCTATAGTCCCAGCTACTTGGGAGGCTGAGGTAAGAGAATCACTTAAGCCCAGGAGTTTGAGGTTGCTGTGAGCTATGACGCCACAGCACTCTACTGAGGGCAATATAGTGAGATTCTGTCTCAAAAAAAGAAAAAAAAAAAGAGGAAGAACGCGTGTAGAAGGAGAGACTGATGTCAGGTGGGAGAGCATGGATGAGTAAAAGAGCAAGGCAGAACAAGAAAAGAATAGTGTGGGGGTAGAGGGGTGATCTTAGCCCCAGAGGCTGTATTTTCAGGGGTGAAAAGCTCCCAAAAGGAACTTTTTAAATGACTCTTATCTCTCAGTAAAGCAGAAGATAAGTTCCTCTCTCAAGAGTTGGGGTGGGGGGGAGGCCGGGCTGGGTAGCTCACACCTATAATTCTAGCACTCTGGGAAGCCAAGGTGGGTGGATCGCTTGAGCTCAGGAGTTCGAGACCAGCCTAAGCAAGAGCGAGACCATGCCTCTAAAAATAGCTGGGTGTTGTGGTGGGTGTGTGTAGTCACAGCTACTTGGGAGGCTGAGGCAAGAGGATTGCCTGAGCCCAAGAGATTGTGGTTGTTTTGAGCTATGATGATGCCACAGCACTCTACCCAAGGTGACGGAGTGAGACATTGTCAAAAAAAAAAAAAGTTGGGGGAAAAATTTGGAGCAAGATCACATGGAAAAGACTTGATAGTAGCTGAGGACAGTATAGATTTGTCTACAAGAAAAGTCTGGAAAGATGATGAGCCACTCAGAGAAGGTATTACTAATTCACTACAGCAAAAACTTCTGAAATCCTACCGGGCCCATGGGCAACTCTGGCTTGAGGGCTGTTGGGCTCTGGACTAAGGGAACTGTAGGGCTGGTGAGACAGATAACGGGATGGGGTTGAGGAGTTTCTGTCTTTGTCACCCAGAGCCTCTGACCCCTGGGGCAGGTGTAGCTGAGGCTGTGTGTGATGGAAAATCACTGCTCCCTGACAGTGGTTTGGTGGAACATGGGTGAGGAGCTGGGCAGAGCGCCTGCTGTGAGTCACCAGTGTTCCTGGTGTCCATCCACAACCCCAGGCAGTGGGCATTTGCCAGGCCCCAGAGCTGATCTTGGGGGAATTTAAGAACTGTGATATGGAAACCTGATGGTCATCGCTGCTCTTCTGCCACTCAGGGGACTCTCAGCAGGGATTAAGAGTGAAGTTAAACAGTTGTTTAGGATGACTACCTGACACTATTTCATATTCCTCCTCCTCCTTCTCTAATTCTTTTTCATTCTTGGCCTCACAGGTGAACCAGACAAGCCTATGTCCCCCTTGGCCTCAGGCAGGTTTGACCTAGAAGGTCAAGAACCCAGATATGAGACCTTGGAGGGCACAGCTCTACTTGGAGGTGGGAGGGGTCATTTCCTATTTCCATGGAGAGATGGTCCTGCCAGGGTGCCACTGCCTCTTCTGTTTCCAGCATGCTTTCCTTCACAGGAGGCTCCTCCCGCCTCCACCATTTCAGATGAGAGCTCACCCTTTTCCTGGGGACCACTAGGGCTTTGGCCTGGGCCCAGCATGAGGACTTCCAGGCACTTTGAGTCTCTCACACTCACAGGGAAGTGAGTAGGGCAAAGGGAAGGAGGGTGAGGGGTTTGGGCTCAGCCTGCTTTAGTCAGAATCTCAGCTCTGTCACTTATCACCTGTGAACCCCTTGGCAGTTTCTTATTCCCTCATCTGTAAAATAAGATAATACTACCATGTACTTCATAGGACTGTAGTGAGGATTAAATAGGATAATCCATGTGAAGTGATTAGTATGATGGTTGGCTCAATAATAATAATGGTAACTACTAGTATTATTATTCCTGTGGGTGATGTCTAGGCCTAGCTGCTTTCAATTTAGAGCCAGGTGTAAGCAGGAGGCCTCCCTGCCCAATATTCCCCTGCCTGGTCAATGCAGGTGCCACCCAGACCCTGGGAAAAACACTGATAAAACAGGAAACAGCAGCAGCAGGGTCATAACTGGACCCCAAAAGAGGTTGCATCAGACTCTCAGGAAGACAGACTGGGGGCCAGACCAAAGCCTGCCTGGGGCACTAGGAAGGATCCACAGAGGACTACAAAAACACCACGGTGTGTGGTAAGGCTTTTAAGCAAAGTATGATGAGGAAGGTATTGAGGTCC